ATTTCCTAATTCTGAGTTCCAAACTCCTTGAAGGCACAAAGTTTACCTCACTTATCTCTGTATCCATAGTATCCAATATAATAATCCAATAAACATTCAGTGAAGGAGTTATGAGATACAAACATTTCTGTTAATTTTCCAGAGAAATGAAACACTGAAATAAAATGTCTCACTACGAATTTGGGCCATATTAGAAAAGTGGTTTTTTTTTTTGTTGTTGTTTTTTTAATGTATTTGGTTGTTGCGGAGTCTCACTATACAGCTTGGACTTCTGATTCTCCTGCTTTCAGGCTCCCCAGGGGTGGGATGACATGCATGGGCCACTACACCTGGATGCTGGCTGGCTCAGCCTGCCCTGGGGGTGGGGCTGGTGTGGCATGTGGTGCTGGGGATCCAACCACAGTCCCTGCACTTGCCTAAGCAGGCACTTTAATCCTCTGAGTTATCTTGCTGGCCCAGAAAAGTGTGCTTTGTAATCATCTTGGCAAATTAGATGCTTGCAAATCCATCAAAAAGAGCTCACCACTGTCCTCATTTTCCCACTGCAGGCTATGGCTGAATAGGTATTTAAACATATTCTATAAATCTGTCAATCTCTATTCTAAAATCCCTGAAAGTTCATAAAACAAGTTCCTAAAAACTACAATGGCAGCATCCTCCTGTGGAGAGTTCCTAATCTAAAAATTTCAGACCTTATTCAGAAAATAGAATCAATTACTCTATGAAAGTACAGAAACCGTTTGCTCAAAAAATAAAACAATAAATAAAATTAGGAAAATATCCAATAACATCAAGAACTTAATGAGTATTCATTTACCATCCACTCATTTTCAATAAATTTTCCAGGAGGCCCTGAATTTTCACAAGATAGCTGTGAAATTGCTTATGTTTCAAGCATATAAAAAACATTAGAATGCGGCCAAACACACGTGTAGATTGTTTGGGAACACAAGTGCCCAAAGCATCTGATTTCATGTGTAGGAGTTCAGTTTAGATTTTTGAATCAGTCAAAACAATGCACAGAAATCTCAGTTCTCCTCTTCACAGATCTCTTCAGGGAACAGCTGTATTATCAGATTCAATAAAGTTGTCATGAAAAAACATATCCAGATTTCTGCCGACTTCCGGGAACCCCCAGACCCAGTCCTAGCCCAGGTCCGGTGAGTGTGTGGAGAGCTTCCTGCTACCCTGTGCCGGCGGGACCAGTCCCAGCCCAGGCGCAGCGTGGGCCGGACCCTCTCCCACCTCCT